CAATGGTTTGATGATGATGAGATCAGGTTATTATGGAGGTAAAGGAAAGTGAACTTTATGCTGATTTTCATCAAACCACAACTGGATACATTTGGCAGTATGGAGTGATGCATTGTAGTCTTGGAACATTGCTTCTATAGTTGGAAACAAAACTTGAACCATGAGATATAATCAATCACACAAGTTCAGTATAATGTTATGCCATGATCTTTCCTTTGAGTGTCACAATAGATGTCAGCAATTGTCAAGATATTAATACATATTACAGTCGACCCCCCTATAACATGGTAGATATGTTCCGTTCTTTATGAATCTATTTTGTACAAGTCCTTGCCAATCACAGCCCAGCATGTATGCACTTTACGGACTACGGCTGTTTGAAAGGTTTTCTTCCATAAAATTAATTGATTCCTAGTCTAATTTGACTCAACATTTCCAAAATACGTATGTTTTTTTGGGAATAATCCATATAAACTATGCTATAAACAAAAAATTGTAGGATTACTTACCGAGTGTGCACCGTTCAACGTCGCCATTGCTTAAGCTTGTTTTCGTCGCAGAGCAGCGCACCAAACGGCGGCCACGATTTCTGATAATTTATTTTTCTGCGAAAACTTCGTTGAACTTTGGAGACATCATTAATATAAATAACTTTTATGGCCATTGAATAAGAAATGTTTCTTTCACAAGAAATGTATAAAATTAGTGCTGTATTAGACTTATGGTACTTAATTTACATACTGTACAGACGATAGTAAACTCAACTTACTCGCCTAAACTCTCCGTAGCATGGCGCTGGACGGCAGAAAGTATATATATAATTATAATAAAGTTACAATAAATTAAGTTAATATATAATTATATATACAGTACCTAATTTATATATAATTAATATATAATTATATGTACAGTACCTAATTTATATATAATACTGTACAGATGATAGTAAACAGTGGCGGCCTTAGGGGGTGGCGAGCAGGGCAATCGCCCAGGGCCTCGCTCTTGGAGGGGCCTCGCACAACAACCAAGTAGAAAAAAGTTGATATTTAAAACTTTTTATTTTATCCTTGGCTATTAGTTATAACAATAAAATAAATTTAATTTATAGTACAGTATATATTAATATTAATAAGTGCCTATTATTTCAATTCACATACTTTGCACAAAAAACAAGACCTCGCAAAGATCTGCCGCCCAGAGCCTCGCAATGGATAAGGCCGCCGCTGATAGTAAACTCAATTTACCCGCCTAAACTCTCAGTAGCGTGGCGCTAGATGGCAGAAAGTAGTTCGGCTGCCCAATGACGTTTTACCAAATTATAGGAGTTTTTTTACCATGTTTGTATGGATACCGTCGCAATTTTTTCGTCGTCATATAGGAATCCAAACTTTAGGAACCCGTGTTATAGGGGGGGGGTCGACTGTACTATTTTCACATAAGTGTTCACATTATTTTTTCCAACCTCTATAAACTTTATATATAAGCTCTAATTTTCTGGATAGATATCTCAGGTTTCTAGTAGGATTAGTTATATATCAATTTTTGGCCAAGAAAACAAGACAAAACATACCAAGCTTAAATTACTAAAACTTATATTATTAAAACAAAAAGAACTATTTTTGTTTTAAAATATTAGGTTGTTCGAAAAGTAAGTTTGTTTTTTTTACCACTAGATTGATTAGTCATATTTTCCCACCATTTTCATTCTAAACCGTATTGTCATTATATATTTTGACAGCTAGCATTTTAAGGCATTTTTGTAAAAAATTTTGTTTGATTCTGTGCAATTGTTTATTTTTTGTGTCCCATCAAATATGGAAGATTGAAAGCATCATTTTTGGCATATTTTGCTTTTTTATCATCAAAAAATCAAAATGCTGTTCAAGCAAGAAAAAAATCGTGGTACATGTATGGAGATGATGTGTTGAGAGAAAGACAGTGCCAAAACTGGTTTGCAAAATTTTGTTCTGGCAATTTCAATATTGAAGATGCACCATGTTCTGGATGGGCAGTTGAAACCAATGAAAACAAAATAAAGGTACTGATTGAAGCAAACTGCCGAATAACAACACATGAAATCACTAAGAGATTAAATTTGTCAAATTGAACTGTTTATGATTACTTGAAACAAATTGGTTTCGTTTCAAAGCTTGATATAAGAGTTCCACATTTTCTTAAAGAGAGATGCTCTCTTTGGTGGGATTTTAAGGACATTTTTTTTTTTGGAGCTATTACCAGGCAATTCAACAATTGATTCGAAAGTGTACTGCCATCGAGTAAACAAACTGAGTAATATCATCAAACAGAAAAGGCGGCCAGAATTGATCAACAAAACAGATGTAGTGTTTTACCACAATAATCTCAAATTTCACACAATTTGGTAAATCATCAGAAACTGTTATAACTTAGAGGGGATGTACTATCATACCAACCATATTTGCCAGATCGAGCACACTCATCAGATTATTACTTGTTCCAGTCTATACAAATTTTTTTTAACTGTAAGACATTTACTTGAAATGACAATGTCAAAAATCATTTGGATCAGTTTTTTGTAAGCAACGATCAAGACTTTTATGAATGTGAAATAATGCTACTACCAGAAACGATGACAAGTATTTGACCAAAATGGTTGATATATAATTCAATAAAATATTTATTTATTATAAAAATATTGTGTTTTTTTCCACGGAAAAAACGAACTTACTTTCTGAACAACCCAATACATATCTAGTAATAAATTAAATTCACAGAATGCAAAATAAATACCGTAATTTCCTGGGAACAACCCACAGGTTATCTGGGTAAAATCAATTTGTAAGGGGCATGGGTTTGCTACAGGTTATTTGTCAATTTTAATTCCAACTTCTGAGCTTGGCCAACAGCTTTTTCTTTGTCTAAAACTTTGTCTCACATATTTATCTGCCACTACAGACACAGGTTTGATCTACATTTACTCTAGATCAATCCATCTGAATCAATAATTATAATGCTAGTAGGCAATATAGGTATAAAAAATGCAAGGGGTTAAAGTGGATTTTGTAGTCTAAAATAGTTATACAGTATATATTTAAAACAATAATATTCACTTAACAACATAATGTTTCATTTTGTATATATATATAACTATACTATCTACCATTTTATTAATAAAATCAAAACTAAAGATGATGTCATTTGTTTTGATTTATCTAGTTAATTTAGAACTCAGTTCTTTGTATTTTAATATGTTTTTAACCCGAGGCAGACCTCTGAACAAAGTTGAAAATGCTTGTTTTAATAAAACTATTGCTGGAAAAGTGTATAAGGTGTAATGTGGTTAGTATTTAGTTAATTTTTTAAACTGTACATTTTTTCTGTTTGACATCAATTAAAGCAACATTCATATACATTATTATTTAATATCTTCAAATTCAATGGATCCTGAATAGGTAACATATTGTTACCTATTAGAAATAAAACTGTTTTGTCTGGAAGCCTAAGTTTATTAATATAAAAAAAATGTTTTCAGCCTGTTTTAGACCGTACTGACTAGTTTTATCTGCATGTCATGCAAGTAATTTTGTCATGCCGCAGGCTTGATAATCAATGCATAAATAATGTAAATTTTGCACCCATTTTATCTTGGCACCCTGTGCAGCCATACAATTTCATCATATCTAGAGCTGGCACTGATCTTAGATCAGTATCAGCTTATATATATAAATATTTGAGAAATGGAACATCTGTTATGAACCAAACAACAATATTTAAATTATAAGCATACAAAATTATCTTGAAAAATAGTATTTAGATTTAAATTAAAATAAAAGTAATAATAAAAATATTTCAAATATAAAACTAATAATAAAACATTTTAATTTTAAAATTAATTTAAAAGTATTAAATAATAATATTTTGATTTTTACATCTACCCCTTAACAATATTAAAATGTTAAGAGGGATAGAATGTCTGGGACCATGCCTTTTAAACTGCAAATTGGTTAAGTGGCACAACTTCAATATCATCATCATTGATATTGATGATGATATCAATCATCATCAATATCAATGATGATGATATTGAAGTTGTGCCACTTAACCAATTTGCAGTTTAAAAGGCATGGTCCCAGACATTCTATCCCTCTTAACATTTTAATATTGTTAAGGGGTAGATGTAAAAATCAAAATATTATTATTTAATACTTTTAAATTAATTTTAAAATTAAAATGTTTTATTATTAGTTTTATATTTGAAATATTTTTATTATTACTTTTATTTTAATTTAAATCTAAATACTATTTTTCAAGATAATTTTGTATGCTTATAATTTAAATATTGTTGTTTGGTTCATAACAGATGTTCCATTTCTCAAATATTTATATATATAAGCTGATACTGATCTAAGATCAGTGCCAGCTCTAGATATGATGAAATTGTATGGCTGCACAGGGTGCCAAGATAAAATGGGTGCAAAATTTACATTATTTATGCATTGATTATCAAGCCTGCGGCATGACAAAATTACTTGCATGACATGCAGATAAAACTAGTCAGTACGGTCTAAAACAGGCTGAAAACATTTTTTTTATATTAATAAACTTAGGCTTCCAGACAAAACAGTTTTATTTCTAATAGGTAACAATATGTTACCTATTCAGGATCCATTGAATTTGAAGATATTAAATAATAATGTATATGAATGTTGCTTTAATTGATGTCAAACAGAAAAAATGTACAGTTTAAAAAATTAACTAAATACTAACCACATTACACCTTATACACTTTTCCAGCACTAGTTTTATTAAAACAAGCATTTTCAACTTTGTTCAGAGGTCTGCCTCGGGTTAAAAACATATTAAAATACAAAGAACTGAGTTCTAAATTAACTAGATAAATCNTATCACTGAATACAGTAATACCCCGAACTTACGCAAGGGTAATACACAGGAAATTATGGTAATAAATTTATATAGAAAAAAGTACCCATACCACAAATACATAATCAGTTGTATCATACCTGTACAGATTGTACGGTGGTACCACTGGGTGCCTGTATGACCGAGTGCTGGTTAGGACTAGGCTGTATGACTGACTGTACTGGTTGACTAGGTATGGCAACGTGTACTATGGACACAGACCCACCAGTCTGGGGTACTGCTATTGCCTGAGTTGTAGGTGATGATGATGTTACCACCTTCAGTACAGCACAAGAAATAAACACTTTTAAAATACACTTAAACTGATTAACAAGTATAAATTATCATTTTTAATTCTGTATAAAATAACCAGCAGCCAACACAAAACATACAATACAATTTTTCAGTTTACCAAATGCCATTTTAAAAAAATTTTTTTAAAGTGCATTTAATATTGTATTTTTAAATATTAAACATTTGAAATTAAAATTAAACTGACATAGTACATATCTTATAAACTTCAAACATTTTAAAGAATTTTTGAAGTTTGTTAAATGAAAGTCTGATGCATTTAAGACTCAAAAAACTGAATATAAGAATGTTTCAAAATAAAGTGAATAAAATTTAGACAATTTCAAGGAGTTAAAATTTAAACTTATTGACTAGTTTTGAAACATTTCATTACTGAACTGATTCAGTGACCAGAAAATATTTAAAAAAATTATATATTGAGTTTTTTTTTAATATTGAGTTCAATTTCAGAAAGCCAAATGATTAATGGATTAAATTGGGCTACATTACCATTACTAATAACTATCAAATACCAAGTGATTTGGCACTAGATGTAAGTGTTATGTGCAATCTCTTATTAAATTTAATATTTATAATTAAATTAATGTTTATTAAATAATTTAGAAAATTCTGGGAAAAATAATTGGTCTGAAGTGAGACTCAAACCCACAACTGCTGCTAATTGGCAATGCATCTACATATGCGTTACCAATTATGCTACCTGTGCCTCCATTCAATCCTTCACTTCCAGACATATTTAATTTGAATTTCTAAATTTTCTAATAAATATAAATTTAATTATAATTATTAAATTTAATAAAAGATGGCATTTAATGCTTACCTCTAGTGCCAAATTACTTGGTATTTAATAATTATTACGTGGTGGTAATGTAGCCTTATTTAATCTGGTAATCATTTGGCTTTAATATAGTTATCAGGATTTAAAATTTTATATATTCAATTTTAGAATTCAAATATACTTATGTTATTTAGACAATTAACAAAAATATTTTATTGGGAGTTACTTAAACATCTAACACCTCAAAATGCAGATTTTAATCAAAAAACATTTTAACTCTACATACATTACAAACTCAATTATCGGAAACTATTTTCATAAAAAACAAGTAGAACATATAGCATTATACATACCATAGAATATATATAATACATAGAGACCCAACTCTCCATGTAACTGGAAATTACTATGTAATCTGTTGTTCTTAGTGCCACGAAACTAGGTCTTATACATAATATTAAATTAGATTTTGAGTAAATCAATTTACTTTCAAATACAGTATTATAGTATTTATAGTTCATGAAATTTTAATGGATAATGCTTGATGCACCCAAAACACAATAACAAATAAGTTTCTGGATTATCTAAAATTTTGTTTATCTGAAAGAACCCTGGTTTCATCAAGTTAGAATAATCAAGTTTCCACTGTATTTGAAAAGTTTTGTTAAAGCAATTTTAGGACTTCAGACTTTGTATATACTGTATTTCCTCAAAACCAAGGGAGTTTATTTGTAAAACATATATATCCCCTGGTTTATTTGAAGTTTTGGGTTTTTTTGAGGGCAAGTTTTATTATCTTGCAACAGGAGATGAGTGGGTAAAAATTTAAAGAATACCTTAATTATCTTAATTTACAGGTTACTACTGCAACAGTTGAAATAATTATTGCTTTCATAGTTAACCTGGTTCTCGGCTGTTATGTTGATGTCATTCATGTCTATTTCAATGTCATTGTTAGAAATTATTGAAAATATTATAAGTAAATATAATATTTTCAATAATATATCTATCCATTTCTAAGCAAAAAATATAAATAAATATAGTCTTTAATATATTTATATTATTTAAAAATAATAGATTTTGGGTAATAGTCATCTAAAAACTAATTTAAAAATCTGCCATGCTTAGAAAAAAGTATTGGATCAGATTTATTTTGGATTACAGAGCTCAATTTGTATAGTATTTATTATTCATTAACCATACATGAAACTATACTTAAAAACTAAAATTTAAAAAACAGGAAAATAAGAAATTTGTTTAGCAATTTTTCAATAGGAACTTAGAATTAGAAATAGAGAATTAGATATGATAGATTTTAGGCAATCTTATTTTACTTATCACTGAATACAGTAATACCCCGAACTTACGCAATAGGTGGAACCGAGTGATAACCGTGTAAGTCGAATTCGCGTAAGTCGGAGTATATTTTCGCAATTTGTGTAAAATCCAAATCTGATGTATGTAAGCTAATAAATGTTCTCGTTAACCTTATCTCGCCTTTTGATTAGTTCACGGTTACAAGAAATCACAACATAGAGTCTCTCAAGTATCTGTAGATATAACAAACACAGAAATAAATAACACAAAATAAATTGTAGCTATGCGTCGATTCCGCGCGGCACATCCGAACATGTAAACTAAACAATAGTGTGGGGGGAGTGAGTAATCAAGACTTGTGTGGCGTTCAAACAAAAGACGAATCGATGAGATTTGAAAATCGCGTAAGTTGGGGTAGCGTAAGTCGAGGTATTACTGTATTTAAAATGAACTGGATGGATTTTCTCATGTGCTTACAACAAATATGACTAAATTCAATTTTGTTCATTATGTAGGCAAAATTGATGTTGACGATAGTGGGTTTTACCAGCAATGAAATTAAAGTAACAACAAGCCAGAGTAAATTAAAACCAAAATTCTTACTGCATAGGAGAATTTTTACTATATGGTTATCCAGCCAATACTGAGAATCTTATCAAAAATACAGTAAGACCCTGCTTAACATGGGGGATGTGTTCCTAGACAATGAAGCACTAAGCAAAACAGCGTTAAACGAGGTCATTTTAACATAAAGTAAATAGGGATAGGGGAACACACAACCAAAAATAAATAAATTTTACTTTAATTATAAGTTATTTTTATATTAATTTGTATAATAATATATGTTAAATAACACATAAGCATATGCACACAGAAATGTAAAGTTAATTTTTTGTGATGAAGGTCCTGACTTTTCTGAAATTCTTGTTCTTTTGCAATAAAGTTGTGAAGTTTCAATTGTTGCTTTTTTCTTTCCTTAAGCAAATGTTGGTAGCAGAAGATCGCATCCAAAACGCCTCGTTTTGCTTTTGCACTCCTTTCAAAATCTAGATCATTCGCTATAATTTGATCAACAATTTCAGTTATCTTACCAAACTTTTACTAAGGAAAACTGTAGAGAAATTTTTTGGGTTCTTCGTTTTCAGAATCTCTATTTTCCAGTTCTACATGAATTCCTTGTTCTGCCAGTTCTTGAAGGTCGTCATTGGTAAGGCTCTCACCAGAAACCTGCTGTAACTCCTCAATATCCTGCCCGTCTATATCTCCTAGTCCTGCTATATTGATTAGGTTGAGTTTGGTCAACCTAATGATACAGCGATAGGCTCTCTCGTTGAGAATTCTTGGATACCTTCAGCTGTAAATTCTTCCACACTTTGTTCGTGCATTTATCAGTTAATTCTTGCCAACCAAAGTTCATATTGTCTATGGCATCCATGATGTTATATTTTTTCCAAAATTGCACCAAACAAACATAGATTTAAAGAAAGTACACCTTTTTGCCACCTACTGCTGATTGGTTTGTGTTCGCAAATAATCGTATTATAAACGAATAATGAAATGCCACAATAATTTAAATCAGCATAAATTTTGAGCTTTTTTAAGGCTTCAAGCAGACTGTGTTATATCGAATCAGCGTTAAGCGAGGCAGCATTAAGCAGAGGCTTACTGTATAATCTTTATGGATGTATTCAATAATAAATTATTTAAACACAATTTTTTCAGGTGTTTATGTTTTTTGACAAATAATAATATGGTTTTGCAGCTACTGTAATCCAAGAATATACTTAAATTCCCAAAGTAATTCTCAATACAAGTAACTAAACTAATTAGACTATACTTTTATGATATTTTACAATCAAAAATTATGTCCTCAAAACGTTTTCAAATCACTCAAGACTGATCTTCAAGAACATCTACTCCAAATTGACTAATGAAGCTCACTTTTACAGTTAGACTATGATAGTCTAACTGTATAAATATAGATAATTTAAATATTCAGCAAAATTCAGTAAGATTCTACTGAAAATCAGTCCTGAGTAACTTGAAAACTTTTATACAGAATCAAAATTTAAATTCAGAAAGTATGGATGAACTGCCTATTCAAAAAATTTCAATTATATTGATATATATACTAATATAATACTTAACATTAATAATACATATAATAATATAATAATTAACATTAATAATACATATAATTAATATGATATATTAATTTTTCTTCATTCTTATACTATAAAAAATAATCAATAATAAAACTGTGTCATTTTTTCTCAAACCTAATTCCAGTTTACACAGTTTTAACTTTGTAAAATTATTCATTTTTTAATGTCTAAAATTTTTACATTTATCTAATGCAGGGGTTTCCAAACTTTTTTGACTCTCAACCCTGTCAAGGATTCATCGACTTTTTATCAACCCTCTCTTCCTGATTTTTGTTAATACAGTTAATAATAATAATAATAATAAATAAATTTGATAAGCCAGTATTATTTAAAATTTTTATTTATAAAAGTATTTACTTTCTCATGAATTTAGCTTTTTATTTCCATTATCCTAAGTTTTTGGAAGTTATTTTTTTATATCTCAACAATTCCCAGCTTATTAGCTAAACATTTCTGTTAAAAAACTTAATACATTTTTTAAAATAATGTATATTTTGAGCACTACTGTATTTAATTGAAAAACTCTTAAGTTACTCACATGTTTAATGTTTGTAGGAGAAGTGAAGAGTACAGTTCCATTTGTTCTTCCTGTTGCAGATGATGTTCTTATCTCTGTCTGACCATTTCCTGGTGTAACAACGACTGTTGCAGACGACGCTGGAGTTTTATCATTATTTTGTGAAGTTAACGATGATCCGCTGTTTTGATTTTCTGACAATCTTTCCATATGCTAAAAAAATATAAATGTTGTTTAATAAATTATTAAAACAAAAATGGATATAACAATGAATAAAAATTTCTTTTTCCAATAGTGAGACTAGTAATCTTTATCACATCTTAATTATCTGCAATAATCAGAGACCAAGATTAAAACAATTCACTTTATTTACCTTTATTGCATCTCCCCTAGAGAGAGACAACAACCTTGGACACTGGAGCCTGAGGAGGGACTGAATAATACCAATCTGAAACGATTGTTAAATAGGTAAATAAAGTGTATTGGTCTCCATTTATTGTGAATAATTAAGAGAGATGTGATAAAGATCACTAGTCTCTCTATTGGACGAAGAAACTTTTACTCAATATTATTATTGTTTTGCAAAATTACATCTACTTGATTCCCAAAAATTCTAATGTCTTGAAATTAGAACTTAACTTAAACTGATATTTAAGTTTTGCTCTTGAATTGGATATGTACTGTACTGTACATAAAAAGGAAAATTATTCTAACATCTTTAATTTAATTAGCATTATAAGTAAAATATTCATACTAGTATGTTAACTAAAAAGTAAAAATACAACCAACTTTATGAGTAAATGTTCTTATTTCAAAGTATTCAAACTAAAATAAATTTTAAAAATTTATATTCAATGTAAGTACAGTAAGACCCCATTTAATGCTGCCTCGTTTAATGCTGATTCAATATAATGCAGTCTGCTTGAAACTTAAAAAAATGCTCAAAATTTACACCGATTCAAAATAATGCGTGATTTCATTGATTCGTATATAATACAATTATTCCCAAACACGAAAACCAATCAGCAAAAGGTGGCAATTCATCGTAGCGCTGTACTTCCCTTAAATCCATGTTTGTTTTGTGCAATTTTGGAAAAAATATATCATCATGGATGTCATAGGAAATACTGACTTGGCTTGGCAAGAATTAACTGATAAATGCATGAACAGTGTGTGGAAGAAGTTATGGCTGAAGATATCCAAGAATTCTCAATGAGAAGAGCCTATCGCTGTATCGTTAGGTTGACCAAACTCAACCTAATCAATACAGCAGGACTAGGAGATGTAGACGAGCAAGATATTGAAGAGTTATTGCAGGTTTCTGGTGAGTGCCTTACCAAGAATGACTTCAGGAACTGGCAGAACAAGGAATTCATGTAGAACTGGAAAACGAGATTCTGAAAACGAAGAACCCAAAGAACTTGCTACAGATTTCTTTAGTAAAAGTTTGGTAACGATAACGGAAATTGTCGATCAAATTGTAGCGAATGATCTAGATTTTAAAAGGAGTGCAAAAGCAAAATGAGGCATTTTGGATGCAATCTTCTGCTACCGACATTTGCTTAAGAAAAGAAAACAGCAACAATTGAAACTTCACAACTTTATTGAAAAAAAAAAAATTTTCAGAAAAGTCAGTATCTTCGTCACAAAAAATGAACTAATTAATATATTATTATACATTTCTGTGTACATTTGTCTAGTGTTATTTAACATATATTTTTATACAAATTAATATAAAAATAACTTAAAATTAAAAGAAATTTTTTTTATTTTTTGTTGTGTGTTCCCCTATCCCTATTTTCTTTTTGTTAAAATGATCTCATTTAACAGTTTGTCATGTAGGAATGCATCCCTTGCATTAAGCAGGTCTTACTGTATATTGCATATAAAAAGACCAAATTAAAATCTAAATAAAAAAAAAAACAAATTTTAAAATAAGAATCAAAATCTTTAGGAATTATTTAGAATACCATATAAGTAATCAAGTAAGACAAATTAACAGTCTATTGAAAATAAAAGTACAAATTAAAGTTCATAAACTTTTTATTGGAGCACATTAATTTTTCAATCATGCTAATTCACTGTTGTTTCTCTTGATAATGACATTTTCAACACTTGTAAATTATATTGTGGCTATTCCTACTGATCAACTTAATGCTTGTTAAATTTATCATATGCAATTTAACATGCATTGTCAATTCTTTGAAATGTTACATCATAAAGTGAGTTTTAAATTAATAATTTTTTCAATGATTTTAATAATTTACAACAATTCACTGATAACTAAACACTTAAATAAATTAATCAAATTCTATTTATTATTTAAAGCTTAGTTTATTTTGTTTAAATAATATTGTTAATCCTTAGGTAAAGCTGCATGCTACTGAATATATCTCCCAGTTGTAACAGAAAAACAACTATCAGTAATGATGGTTGGCTGGGAATAAGATCAATTTAAGTAGCAAATAAGCAGTCGCAGACAAGTAGCCCTCAGCAACCTGCATAGGTCCAGTGTGGTGAGGTAATGCATGAATATAAATAAACATTGTATTCATCATGAACCTATAACTATAGATTGTTCCTTAACAATGATAAGCTTATTGATCTGGAAAATGAATGTGATAGGTCTTTCAGAGATACACAGGACAGAACAGTTGCAGACTCTTAAGAGTGAGCATATGCTCTACCATAGCCAGGGCAATGTTCAGTAATGCAGAATTCTTGCTAAGTCTAGTTATGCTGCAATGTTGAACTCGTTTCTAACTACTGCTCGACTCCTCCCACCTCTAGAGTTCTAGCTAGTTCAGTCAGCTTCTTTCATCTATGCTAACTTCTACTAATGACATCATTGTTTTTGTCTCTTTGTACGATTTGCAAGATGGCTGCTCAAGTTGGACTAAACATATTTTATTATAACAATCACAAAGTTATTCTTACATTCTAAATCATTAACTCATTCTAAAATGACTTCAAAATGTAAAATCATCAAACGTCGGTATAACAGATTCCAAATACATTTTAACAGAAGATAGCAGTCCATTTTGTTGACTACAATTAATAATTGCTTCATTAATATCATCACACTGACACAGCTTCCATTTGAATAATTGTATTGGTTACTTCATCCTTTTCGACCAGTTTGTTTACGACAATCGTTGCAATCGTAATTTTAACTTCTAACACAATTTTGCCCAGTTGTCTAATTATGAATAATCGTTCAATGATGCTCAGAACATTCTTAGCTCTGCCCACTAAGCCACTCAGAATTCTAACTTAGATTTTCTGCATTACTAAACATGGCCCAGGCCAACACCACCTCAAATGGATGATTAGGCTTTTTGATCCATAAATGATTAACAAACAGACTAAAATTCACTTGAGATTACTTCCACACACTTGCATAAATCACTGTTTGGTTAAATCAAAGATAGTTTTTGCATATCATTTAAACTTATGTCCCAACATATCACTCTGACAAGAATACTAGAGTTTTATGAAATCCTAACCATATTATACAACTGTTCTTGGGAATTTTTAATGGAAAGGTAGGGCAATAAAGAATAACATGAGATCTCAAGTAGGCTTACTTGAAACAGGCCAAAGAAATGCTAGAGGAAGTATTCTTGCTGAATTTTTTGAACAAAATGCTGTCTACATTATGAATATTTTTAATAAGAAAAAGGCAAATAGAAAACAGATATAGATAAGCCTCAATAGTGAAATAAAAAATGAAATTGATTTCATTCTCTGAATAGGAAAAATATTGTCATGAATGTTATTGTATTAACATCCCACAGATTAGTTAGTACTACTGTAAGACTAAACTTGAGAGTTAATAGATTGAAACTGGTAGGAAAGCAGACTCAAAAATATGATGAAGATTCTAAATGTCAAAAAATTTAGAAATATACTATTTGAATACATAGGCTACAATATAAAATTTCCATGATTAAAATGAAACAAAGGCATAAATTGTTGAACTAAAGCATGCTTAGAACAATTAGTAGAATTGCAAGAATGATAATTGATAAGCCTAACGAGCAATTATTTTATTGTGACATCATCTCAATGTCAGGCTGCAATTTTTAATATTTTAAATTTATTTAATTAAAAATATATGCTCTCCACCTCAAATTAGTAGTGTTTTGCCCCTGTACATCATACTTTTCCTGTTTGCAATGGAGAGTTGTGCTGGTCTTCTAACTCCTTTCAGGGGAAAATTTTTTAACTGAAATAACATGACTTTTGGTGCAAACTGGAAGTTCTTATATAGTTAATCTGGATTTTCTGCCACTAAGCTTTTCATGTCTGGTCTTGATTTTCATCTAACTAACTCTGTTCTTGAGATTAAGGAAGGACAGAATGAGAGATGGACAACAATGGGATTTTATAGTATACCAGTAGGTCTACAAGTTTTTCAAATTGCAGCCCAAACTCTTGCAAAACCTTGTAGATTTATTACAGAAACATAGAACACCAAAACAAGACTTAAATTCAAAGAATAAAATTGAATATTCTATACTCTGTAAATTAACTAGGAAAGAAATAAGAAAAGATATCAGGGCTTACAATACTAAGCAGATCAAAGAAACAAAAGTTTAGTGAAGAAACAGATTAACTATTGACATAAATATGTCAAATAACCTTAATTAGCACATACCTTAACTTTACCCTAAACTTTAAACTCTAGCTAATATTTCAGCATAGTTGTTTAGGAATCTTGTACAGTATTGTAAGAAACAGGGGTCCAGACAATTTATTGAATTTCCTTTACTTTTTGATTTATAAATCTAAAACTTTGATATACTTTAGGTTGAATTTCTCCCTTGAAGGTCTGACAACTCTTGCTTTATCCCATTTTATAAATATCTCTTCTTCCGTAGCATATCTAGCAACTGCTGTGGATGGTATCTCTGATGTATGGTGTAGTTATCCTACTCATCAACAATCTTGCTATGACCCCAACATATTCGTGGTCCTGTTTGTCCCTATTTTCCTTAAGAAGTATCCTTTATACTTACAGCTGCTAGATGTCCCAGATTTTTCTGACTACTGCCATCTAATAACACAAGGACTTTTTCCCCTATATATATTGCGTAGATGCACATTGTAGTTCACAATCTTGTACATCTTATGTTCTTTTATACTGAGAATAGAGGTAAATGGAAGATCATGACAGAGGTCATCATTTGGCAAGACAAATGAATTGGAGATAGTAATGATGTTGGTCAGTTAGTTCTATGAGTATATTCTATTATGCATTGTTCCAAACTATTTTTTGAACTAGTTTCTTTCATGTAGAAACAATTATTTTCCCTAAGTGAATGTAAGCACTTTGATTCATTACACTATTGAATACACCTGGATTAAAAATAAAATGGAAAATTTAAATATGGTTTACTAATTTATATAAATTCTTGATTTATTAAAAAAATTCAGAATTTTTAAAAGTGATTTTCCTAACATTCTCATTAGAAGTCATAAGTATATTGAAAGTATAAGTTATTAATTATAATGAATGTTAGCTAACAAAACTACAAATTATAAACTATTAGATCATTGCAAATGAAATGGCAGTTTTTTAAAATTTAAACTTTCTGACCTTGTAGTTCAACTTTTCCATGTGAACAGTGCTGTATGTTTGCAATTGGAACAGCACACACATAATATGTGAATTTAAACAGGTAATCTCATTTATATTGTGAGTTCCACAAGTTTAAGAGTACTTTTTCTGATGGTGTGGAAAAAGCAAATTGAATAATTTTCTTTTATGAGTAAGAACATAATGTAGCTGAAGCAACCTGAAATACCAATAAAACTTTTGGTGAAGGTTCTATGAGTAAGCAGGTCACAAGGCATTGGTTCAAAAAATTTCATTCTGGAAATACAGATCTCAAAAATCAGAATTGAAGATTATCTGACTGTTTAGGAAATTGCGGAAAGGTTGAACATACTGGACATTAGATGTCGAGAAATGGTTGAATAAACATGTTAAGGAAAGTTAAGAAACTTGACAATGAGTACCACATGAACTCAGTGAGAGAGATAAGAAGCATCATTTGGCAGTCTGTAGTTCTTTAATTATTTGTCAGAAAAATGAAAATATTCAAATGAAATTCTTCCCCACCCACCTTATTCTCCAAACATTTTGACATCAGACTATCATTTTTTTTTATACATTTGGACATTTTTTGGCAAGAAAAGTCTTCAAGAGGATGCAATAAAAAGTACTTTTAATGGCTTTTTGGCTTCTCATTCTCATTTCTATTAAACTGGCACTAATGCACTTCTATTGTATTGGGAAAAGTGTATTAATGTTGGCAGAAACAATTTTGATCAAATATGTAAGTTTTAAATAAAATAAATAAATGTTGAAAGTAAGAAGTAAAAATCAGCCATTTCATTTGCTAATATTTTTTTCCCACCTAATATTTTGAACAATGAATAACAGCAGTTCTCTACATTAACTTTATAAATATATCATATTCCATTTCAAAGAAACAGACTTAAGAAAAAAACATTGATATTCATTTCAAAGTGACTCATATCAAGGCATTTTATCTAGTGATAGGAAATATTATTCATTCAGAGGATCTAAATCATCTTTCATAAAAGTTATCCAAGAAAAAAAGGGGAGTATTTAAACATATTTCCATTAAATATGATAATTTTAATATTTTATGATTTCATATTTCTTTTATCTATTAAAGAATGTTGTTGTCACATTAAATGTCACTCCATAATTTATTTTGTATATGACAGAAGAATACAGTTGATAATATGTTTGATTACAAATGAATTATGGATTTCTATCACAGATCTTAAAATTCAAAAGATATTAACTTCTTTGTTTATTATTTATAATTCTGTTTGTCGACATAGCAACAAGTTCAAATAATTAGAATAAGAATTCCATTATCAATTTTATTAAAGTAACTGTAATAGTGCTTTAAACAATGAATGAAATAGACCATCAAAAGCAATTGTTGACAAATGGATGGAAAATCCAGACAAAATAAGTCATTTCATAACAATTGAGCTACAGATTTCTCCGAAGTATGGTAGATGGAGTGGTAAATTTGTATCATAAGACATTGTCCATTTCTTAAAAGCTAGGTCCCAGTGGAAAATATGGTTCTTGCAACTCGCAACTCAACCAGAAGATAATCAAAGTCATTTCCAAAAATTACCATATGTTAGTGAAAGATATTGCAAAAACAATGAGAAATTAATCAATGGTTCAAAAGGCAAGCAGTGTGCAAGTATGAGTTCATATAAAAAACAAAAATATTCCTAAAGTGGCAGAAAAAGAAAAGATAATAAAACTGAAGCTCAAAAATTGTATTCTGTAATTTGCAAGAAAAATTCTTATTTGGTTTCAGAATACAAAATATACATGAAGGCTGACTTCTCAACACTTCCAGGTTAAACAATGTTTGAAGAAAAACTTCTTCCAGAATCTCAAACATTAATCAGTGTTGGAAAGTTTGCCTTAAAATATCTGGTATGACTAGCAATTTGCCAGTGTGGATTGAAAAGTTTGTCGTTTGTGACAAAAGAAAATATTAGTGCTGAAATTTATATTAAAGAATGTTTAAAAAAATAAATCTTTCTTTTTCAGTAATCATGGTGGCCATACTTTGTTTTGGCCAGATTTGGCAACAACACAATATGCAAAATCCATAAGCTGGCTGGAACAGAATGAAATCGATTTTGTATGTAGAGACATGAATCAAATGTATCACAATGCCGACCAATAGAAAGATTTACTCTTGTAAAAAATAACTAAAAAAGAATAAAAACAGAACAAACAGTAAAAGACATTAGATATTTTTCTCTGAAGTGGAAAAGAGCAGTCACAATGATTGAAGGAAATACTGTCAAAAATGTTATAAAGAACATTAAAAAAAAACTTTAAAAGGAATGGAGCAAAACTTAAATGTTATAATTATTTAAGTTTTAAATGCATTTTAAAAAACAAATTTTTAAATAAAAGTAAAATCTTTCTGATTACATTACAAACAAAACAGTTATTAACTTTTGAATTTTACAGGATTCTATTGTTACAGTTCTTATATTATTTCTTCCCCTTCTTGAACAGTTTAATAGTTTTGATAAATTGTAACAGAGGTAAATAAAAGCAATATTTTTTAATTGTATTATGGGAACACATATATTGCTTAGGCTGTTTACAACATGTAAAGTATGTTGAGGTTAATTGGAAAAAATTATGCAGTTATGAATTTTTATGACAACTGATAACAGTTGTCTCTTATCAGTTGTCCTGAAATGCATATTTTCACAGACTACCAAGCTGTAACTTTTAAGGTTACTATTGTTTGTAGCTTCTGACATTAGAAATTTTTTTAAAATAGGATAACAATCTCTCATTAACTCTCAACCTGGTGAACAAATGTGTTTTTTATGCCCGATACTTACTCTTCCACCTGTATGACACAGATGATCTTACTAGTGGCAAAGCTACCATCATGCAACAAGACCCACCAGAAAAGGATAGAAACATCAGTGGGCTTCTATTGTTAGATAAACAAATGATTTGGAAGTCTTGCATTGATTATTTAAGTGTGGAACAAGTATTCAGCTTCCACAATACAAATACTAAGCAAGAAACATAACCTGACTGTAGAAAATTATATTCCAATTAGACTAAAAAAACAAAAAATGTTTTTTAGGAATTCCACAATGGCTTTTAAATTATTTTCCACATATTAGCAACATAAAGTCAAACTGTACAGATATTTTAAGAGTATAATGCGTCTTTTATATTGAAATTGCCATCTTTAAATTTCCAAAACAAAATAAATAATTAAACTAAATTTCATTTTAGTAAATAATCGCAACAAGTGAAATTGATTCGATATTCGAAAGTCTTCAGGTTATAATCATTACCACGTGTTACGAGTTCGAAAATAATAAGCGATGACGTCATCGTAGGGTAAAGTTAGCGATGAGATCATCCAATCAGCTACTGAGTCAGTTGTAAATTAGAACATTAAACCCCGTCATGACGTCATCGGTACGAACGACGCACTTGTCTCGAAAACAAAAATCACATCAACACGTTTAATTTTTATTTCATCCTTAAAAAGAATGCATATTTCATCGTTTACTTTTTAAAAAATTTCTTATTATATTAAATCAAAAGTTCTTCATTTCATTGACATTAGAAATTAAAGAAAACAAATATGCTTACTGGTCATAAAAATAAAATCAAATTAAATAAAGCGAATTCGAGAAGTTTGGGAAATAAATTTTATGAAAGTGGCGGCGCAGAATATCCGGTTTCGATCACGTGAGGATATGGCGTCATCGAAGTTTATTTATAGAATGAAAGGAATAAACACTCCGATTGACGTCATGCCAAGCAAATGCAGAAATTTTTCTCTTAACTATTGAGTAATTCTCAAACTGTACAAAATGCGAAATAAATATAATTTTTTTTTTTTAATTTCGAATAAAATTTAAAAGGTAATTCAGTATGCGATTGAAACATCGATGACGACATTCAGTTATGAAGGGAATAATCTGTAACTGACATTCAAATGTTATTACTATTATTGTTCTCACTATTTTAATTTAAAGCTTTAAAAATGTTAAATAAATATAAATAAACATTAAAATTTTTAATTCCGAACAAATATCCACATGACGAAACGTTCCGGAATGACGTCATATCATAAAATGGAAAATGACTCAAAACAACTTTTTAAAAAATCTATAAATTTTTTATATGAAATATACATTTTATTGCGTTATCATCATCATCATCATAAGAATTTAACGAAATGTTTTATAAAACAAAAGTTTGAGAAAGCAATTAACTATGACTTACTTAATCTATGAAGACTTGCGTTTTTATTAAATGTAATTTTTAAGTTATTCAATTATACCAATTTTATATGTCGAAATTTCGTTTAAAAAATAGCAGTAACTGTTATTTTTCCAGTGCACCCTGTAGACCTTGTAATATTGATGAATAGTGCAAAATCAATTTTATATTGCAACATATAACGTTTATTGGATAAAACATGGCGCGAGTTAATGAAATAATCAATTCAAATTGTTAACAACAACATTGATATAGAGATTTTTAAGACAAAATAATAATTTTTAACGTGTTAACAAGATTTTTCTTTATACATCTCCCATCTCAATCAGTTTAATTTTTAAAAAAATGCACGTTAGAAATAATAATTCAAAATTCTTAAAATTATGAAATACAATTAAAGCTTCATCTCTAAATTTGGTTTCAAAAGTTTAAATAATATGAATTTTTCTTCTTTAATTACTATATTTGTATAGTTTTAATGATTTAATCTGCAGTAATTCTAATTTTCAGAAAGAAATTTGATAGCAACTTCTAATAAGAACTCTGATATAAGGCCAATATAATGAAATGTATTCTGCAGATACTTTTTAAATCTTCAATAACGTATGGAAAATTAATATAAAGATTAAATTCTATTTATTAATTTCAGTTAAAAATGTTTAACTATTCCAATGAACTTTCTATCCAGGTATTCTTTACAGATCAATCATTTCTTGATATCATCTCTTACTTTTTAATAAATTTCATTATTTGATGCTTCATTTAACAATAAAAAATTTCGTTTAAAATATTAAACAAATTTACGAATATTTTTTAATTAATGAAATTATTTCAGTTTAAAGTGGTCTGGATTCCAAGCATGGTGATGTGTAAGTAAAATAGTAACTATTTTTGTTTTTTGAATCATTAACTAATTCTATTTTTATTCAAATAATTTTGAAATAATTTCAATGATTAGTTTTAATATAAAAATTCAATGTTTGTTTTGAAATATCATTAAGAAACAATTTTAAATTATATTAGAAATGTTATTATCATTTATTTTTAACAAATAAATTAGAAATGTATCTGTAATTGTGGAATTTCATAAACATGTAATACAATTAATTACATATATGCTTAATGTAAATACATTCATCCCCTATAATTTATAATTATTGCATTCTTTTATGGTCATATTAAACATACAAATTATAATAAACAAACAGTAATAATAAACAGAATAAATCCAAATTAATGAGGATGATAATGCTTAAGGTAGAACTAAACATGATGTGAATTATAAACTGCTATAACAATTTAAACTTTTTATATGCAACCAAAATTATAATTATTTTAACTCCAATTTTTATAAATCTATAATAATATAGTATATGGGATTATCATCAGTTTTAAAGTTCATTATTTATAGAAATTAAACAATTTAGAATGATATATATCAAATAACAAGTATCATTTATATTCATTATATACGAAAATCTTACTTGATAATTCTAAAACTAACATTTTTCACATCATAGTGAAGCTAATAACCTGAAACTAATCATCATCATCAATGCCACATAAAAGTATAAGTTACTNTTTTATTATATTATTTGTTCTTTATTTTAAACTTTAAAGCTCAGTTGTGTTAAATATCAACAGCTATACCATCTTGTCCAACGGAAGTCACCCATCACTGAAGCCCGAAAGGCACAATGCCTTTCAGTTTTCAGAAGCTAAGAAGCAAGGTCTGACTTGACCAGTACTCCACCTACCTGAAGATCTGTAAAGACAGTTGCAGCCAGCCTCTTCAACAGGGTGAGTCTAGTGGCTGTGAAACAATACAGAATTCCATGTGGTTGCTTCCTTATCCTCAAGTTGAAATCCCAGAGATTGCCAGCATTCTTGGAAAATCCATGCAATCGTAGCCTAGATTCAATCCTGGGCCACCAGAATAGCAAGTAAAGCTAAACTGCTCTGGCTTCAATCTGTGCATCTTACCAATTTACATAATCAGGATGACAATAAATGAGAAGTGCATCCCAAAAAATAATTTTTCATTAAATCATGATTAAGTAACATTATATAGTAAGCAATTTATAAAATTATATATCANTTTAAAGCTCAGTTGTGTTAAATATCAACAGCTATACCATCTTGTCCAACGGAAGTCACCCATCACTGAAGCCCGAAAGGCACAATGCCTTTCAGCTTTCAGAAGCTACGAAGCAAGGTCTGACTTGTCCAGTACTCCACCTACCTGAAGATCTGTAAAGACAGTTGCAGCCAGCCTCTTCAACAGGGTGAGTCTAGTGGCTGTGAAATAATACAGAATTCCATGTGGCTGCTTCCTTATCCTCAAGTTGAAATCCCAGAGATTGCCAGCATTCTTGGAAAATCCATGCAATCGTAGCCTAGATTCAATCCTGGGCCACCAGAGTAGCAAGTAAAGCTAAACTGCTCTGGCGTCAATCTGTGCATCTTACCAATTTACATAATCAGGATGACAATAAATGAGAAGTGCATCCCAAAAAATAATTTTTCATTAAATCATGATTAAGTAACATTATATAGTAAGCAATTTATAAAATTATATATCAATATAACATCATTAATGCATATAAAATGATAAAGTACAGAGTATGTTTTAATTATTTCAGTTAGCTCTGAATGTTTAGAGTTCTTGGACTTTTTACCTTATTGATAAAGAATCTAGCAGAAGAAAAATGCTTATTTTTACTATCTATCAGGTTAGTTAAAACAAATTATATTTTTTACACTACTGTACTTTGTAAATTTAGTGATAAAAGCTCTAGAAGATTAAAACTCCTGGTAAGGTAGTTTTAATAATTTTGGTTTTTACAAACTAACAAAAGGTGTTTCAATGGTTTTAATCTAATAAAATATTTAAATCTTCCATATTAATTGTTGCATCTTACTATCCATATAGGAATCAATGATTGTCATCTCCTGATTATCTTCTTTTATTGAACTATCAATATTTATTTTCATTTGTACAGGATAATGTTTATATAAGATTGAATAAACACAACTGCACAGTGTGTTCTGCTCAAAACTACCAATTTGATTTGGCTATAAAAAATTAAGGATCAAAGATATAAGCTCAGCATATATAAGATTTTATATAAGAGAAAAATACACCAAATTTCATTCAAAAATCACCATCTCTCTATGTGAGCTTCAGCAGCCAGTGACATCATCAAGGCACTAAGCAATTTCTTGCTATGTATGCTGCAGCATGTCCTATCTCACAGTGGCAATGGCTGAGATGATATGCTCCTGAAGATGCTGAAGGTCTCTAACTGAAGTTGCATAAACCACATCTGTCACATCACAAAGGAATCTAAGGAGGTCAGACTGGGAGATCTTGTGGTCATACAATTAGGCATTATTCTAGACCACGACTTGCACTTTCTCTGTGGCAAAGCCATGATTGGACAATAATGCTCACAATTTGACTTCTGTGCCATCATGCAATATGAAAATTCTCTATAAAACTTTATGAGTTTTCCTACCAGATGTCACTTGTTTCTTTTATTTATCCTTAATTTTCCATAAAAAAATGAATAGTTTAAGTCAGGTATTTTGAGCAGAACACATTGTATTATGCAGACTTCTTCTGATTCATGTAGTAGAATTGCCATGTTTTTGTCAGTTAATANAATTTTAAATTATATTAGAAATGTTATTATCATTTATTTTTAACAAATAAATTAGAAATGTATCTGTAATTGTGGAATTTCATAAACATGTAATACAATTAATTACATATATGCTTAATGTAAATACATTCATCCCCTATAATTTATAATTATTGCATTCTTTTATGGTCATATTAAACATACAAATTATAATAAACAAACAGTAATAATAAACAGAATAAATCCAAATTAATGAGGATGATAATGCTTAAGGTAGAACTAAACATGATGTGAATTATAAACTGCTATAACAATTTAAACTTTTTATATGCAACCAAAATTATAATTATTTTAACTCCAATTTTTATAAATCTATAATAATATAGTATATGGGATTATCATCAGTTTTAAAGTTCATTATTTATAGAAATTAAACAATTTAGAATGATATATATCAAATAACAAGTATCATTTATATTCATTATATACGAAAATCTTACTTGATAATTCTAAAACTAACATTTTTCACATCATAGTGAAGCTAATAACCTGAAACTAATCATCATCATCAATGCCACATAAAAGTATAAGTTACTGTAAGCGTTAATAAATAAAACAGTTTTTTTTAAGTAAAAGTTCTATAATTAGCCATGCAAATAAAACGTTAAAATAAGCATTAACGAAAGATAATCGAGCAAAAAAGCTCGTAACGTTATAGTTAAGCCTAACGAAGATATGTTTTCAGTCACGTTCGCTACTCTGATTGTTGTTATTATTGCTCCGCTGAGTTACTTACCATCCAGTTACGTATTTCTCGTCGTCACAGAATTTGCAGCACTCCGACTGGATAATATGGTAGAAACGTAGCAGCCACGTCAAAGATCTTCGTCACTGAACACACCGTCTTTACACTTGCATATAAACGTCCATTACTGCGCATGACGTCATTTTAAATCCACAAAGCTATTGGCTCGTTTGAACGGTGATGTCATCTCTATTTCACTACTATTGGTTATCTCAAATTGTCTTTTTTCGTATATGGTAATGTTTAATGACTATCTGAAAGAGAGATCGTGATTGGTTTTTGTTATATAGATGCTGTATGGGTAAATTCTTATCTATAGATAATCAATGGGTTGATAAGTGTCGTTTCGAGAATGACGCAGTTATGTAGTTTAATGTCGCGATTAGTTAAACTGTCGTTCAGAATATTAGTTCTTTTAGTAAATATGTTTACTCTTTGATATATATTGTTCGAACATACAGTTATAACGTTATAATTTAAATATTGGTTCTTCGGAAGAGGCTATATTGAGTATGGTTCATTGCACGTTATCCAACTTAAACATTTTCATTAATTTCTATTAAAAACAAAACAAAAAAAAAAGAATTAGGTAAAACCAACTCCACAGTCGTCAATATAAGTAAAAACCTTAACATTCTAGCAAACATTAATACATTTTGCTGGAATGTTGATGTTTTTGCCATAACGAGTTAAAAATATAAAATTAATAAAACAAAGTTTCTTTACTTCGTTTTCTGTCAGAAATGATATCGAATTTAATTTATGCATAAAGATTGAACTGAAGATTCTGTTTAATGTTTATGTATTGCTGCTGCTTATTTCTTGCATATTAAACATGCAACTCTAGTTTACTAGTAATGAGTATGTTTACTAGGCAACATACTCTAATGAGTATGTTGCCTAGTAAAGTGGCCTTAATAGAGCTAGATAAGCAAGCCAGTGACAGTGTGTTTCAAATGAAATGGGTGTCATTGGTTTGCTTATTCAACTGTATTAAAGCTGCTTTAATAGGTAAAGTACAATGTACTTTATCATCCAAAACAGAAATAAATAAATATTAGAAATGTTAGTCATTGATGATTGTATAGATTGAGTTCAGAACAAACTTAAAAACATAACTGGTGGTCTAGAATAACCAGTTATTTTTTAATATATAAAAACCAATATTATCCAACTATTGTGTATAATACAAAGACTAAATCATGTAAATGTGTCATTTTTAATTTGATCAATCATCGTAATGATATTATTCTTGAACTAGTTTTCTGAAGATATTACTAATGGCTATAGTCAGTGTAAATGTCTGAAATTTTGAGATACTTGTAACACTAATTGAATTAACTTTTTATACAGGATTACTACAACCTATCTACTGCAAAATATCCAAGTCATGTAGGTGGTGATTATTTTTTAGAAAAATGAATTGTCAGCAAGCTTAGATAACAACACAATGGGAAATGCCTCCAAAAAATAATTAGTCTTTTAATATAAAGCAAATAATGCAAAGATTTAAAAATTAACAAATGTTTTTTAATAGCTTTAAATAATCATCCTGTGGTATAGAAACGGTATTATAAATAAAAATGCTACGTCTATTCATTATGTGTACAGTTTAAGAGGGAGTTTGCAAAAAGTGCATCATTGTACAGATGGGAAAGAAAAGAGTCCAAGGCATAATTGTCTGCATTGACTTTTTTAGTGATATTAATGGCATATGAATTTGTTCTGATAGGCCTACTTACTATTCTTGTGAATAAACTATAAAATGTTTAACAAATATTTTCTGAAAGTCATATCTTTAATATCAGGCCCATGAATTGTGGTGCACACAATTAGAAGGAGTTTGCCAAAAATATGTCATTGTACATGACGGAGTGTGTCAAACTTGGCTCAAAAATTACATGTAATTAATGGATTATCCCTTAATGTTTTAAAATGAAGGATAAATTTAAAACAAAATGTCTAAACAGTGAATAAGAAAATGAATTGTTTAATGTAACAGATAGGTTTTTATTCATCTTACAAATTTTCATATTCACTACTAAATTTTATTTTGCATCTAAATACTCCAATGTTTTATTTTGCATTATTTTTAATTAAACAATGAAGTGTTGATATAATAGATCCTGTTTTATATAATACTGTTTTACCTATTTGATATACTTAAAGTAAAATAAATGCTAATTAACTTGATTCTTAATCCAGAATTGTTAATATTGGCATTAATAGGACAAATCGTTATCAAATGAATTGTGCTATACAATTGCTCAACAATGGCTTGTAAAATCTGATTTCAAACAGTTCATTATTGGCAAGATGCTTAGAGCATGATATAATTTAAATATCAGGTAACCAAGAAAGTTGTCATTTTTCCATAATTACAAATTCAGAGTATTTATGCAAATCACTTGATAGATGGAGTTATAATTTTAGTGATGTAGAAAACAAGAGGTATTAAAGCATCTATTGATATGCAAAAAAGTTGAAAAGATATGCTTGAATACCATATCAAGTACTTTGAAAATGAATACTCTAACCCAGGCATGGCCAACATACAGCCCACGGGCCGGATCTGGCCCGTCTAATGAATTTATTTGGGCCACGATCAATCTTTCAATATTAGCTACTCAAGTCCGAATAGCTCGATGAAAAATTCTGATGCCTAAAAAAAAGAAAAAAAAAGATCAACAATTCACTGTGTGTTTAGAGTTAACCCTCCATTACAAATCTCGTAAGTACAGCGTAGAATGTTGATAAAGCATGATAATGTGAAAAATGTATCTGTAATCTCTATGTACAATTTTATCTCTATGAGGTGACACCACAATGAGATCCCACACCACCTCAAAATCTTCCTAAGGCAGCCTCTGGTTTGGCCCATGGAAAAAGTTTTCTTTCCAATTCGGCCTGGGGGCAAAAACTGTTGGCCACCCCTGCTCTAACCTATGTTATTTGTGCTTGTATGTTGTATAAGTTTAAACTGGAAACAAAAGATGTGCAAGTGGTCCAAAAACATTTCTAGGCTTACCATTACTGTAGATATCTACTGTGCCCAACTTCAGCACGTTCATGAAGCACTTACAAAACAAAAATGCTAGTGAACTGTAAAGGCATTCTCTTCTTACAGGATAATGCAAGGCCACATGTTGCATATGTAACCTGTGATAAGATTCAAAGTCTTGGATGGATGGGAACTTTTTATGCACCCTTCTTATTCTCCTGACATTAGGCATTCAAACTACCACCTCTTTTTATGCTTAGACAATCATCTGTGGAATCATTC